AAGCCTGATGATCTACTTTTGACTCCCGGACTCCCGGAGGAGCGCGCAACTGATTACAATTCTCGGCAGTCTTACATGACCCCCCCCAGAGACTCCAATATCCCTTAATTAAGGAATATACCTTAAATTATACTAGGATCCCTAATATGATTTAAGGAATATTCCTTAATTAAGGGATATTGGAGTCTCTGGGCCTGACATGGGTGATGACATCAATCAGCTGCGTACCCAGAGAGCCCAATACTCCTTAATTAAGGAATGTAGCTTGAAGCATAATATGAAGCCCTATATGGTTTAAGCCATATTCCTTAATTATGGGGTATTGGGCTCTCTGGGTATTCAGCAGGTCAACAATCAGGTCTCGCTCGCCATCAACTGGCAACAAGTGGGAGCTTCCGAAAATAGGGGTACCTTATTTGGGGGTCCTTATTATAAGGATCCTACTATTTAGCTTACTATATTAGGGTCCCCTATTTTCTGAAACTCCCAACTAGCAACAGATGTGGAAGTGGCAGCAAGCAGTCGTTTCTCAATGCCCGACTTGTCGACCGGAGTCTGTCAAGATGCAGCACTTCAATGTACCACTACTGGCGAAGGACAAAGTCCTGCATTCTCCGCAAGGAATACACACGCCCATACGCCCCGTAGTTTAGGATAATAGGGGTAGTGCAGGATTTTGCCCATCACAATAGCTGCAAGTTCCGACATTACTTGTATCATCCCCATTGGATTTTGCCAGTCTTAACATTCACAATGGAATGCATAAGGGGTCCTGACTACATGTCCCCAGCCTGTGCATCTCATGTCTGCAGGCTTGTCAGTTAGAGATGCACACGTTCCGCGCACACAGCGGTTTAGGGTTAGGGTGTACCTGTGGCCCAAAAGACCCACCATTTTGAGGAACTATTTAATTATGGAAACCAGAACAAGGAACCCTAAATAGGCAGGTCTTTTCGGCTCAGGTAGGGCTCATGGCCAACATTGTGATGGTGGCCCGGAGGCCGTACAAACGTCCACGACCAAGCGTTCCAACATCTACATTTGACATGCAACAGCCAGCCCATGCCACGACGTCGCGCTCCACGCACTAAGCTTGCTAAGCCTTTTACCCCGAGAAACTATGACGCATGCCCGACAATTAGCACCAGTCAGTTGCCCAAGCACCATCGGCGAGTCACTACTGCACACAACGTCTACTCCAAAAGGGCTCCCCCGACACGTTTTCTTTGCAGGAAACCGGCCTGCTGCAGGGGACCCATTGACCTAGGTCTTCACATGTCCACCAGCTGAAGGACCTCCCTCAATGCACCCGTAACTCACAAGCACACGTAGCATGCGTGGCAAGGGGTCTGTGGCCAGCGTAACAAGGATGGGGAGGCCAAGAGCTGTGAGTCATCATGTGACTCTCTTGAGTGCTCGTTCATCCTCCCCCTTGTCAGAACCTTCATTGAAGGAACTTCACACACGCCGTGCGCCACTTGGCTTGAGCCAACATGTTTCGAGCCGGCAGAACGCTCCCGACTGCTCAAACTGCAACGTTCCCTCTCCTACCAGCATTGCCATTCATGTCCTGTCGAAGTACTACAGTACGATGCATTGCTGAGGTAAGCAACGAACTGCACAATGCTACAGCAAAGATTTCTCTTTCGCTTTTGTCAGGCCGTTCAGACTTCCGGGCATCAACATCTTGCATAGGCACAGCCTCGCAGCAGGCCCGATGATTCATTTCCGACTCCCGGAGGAGCTGAGTTGATTGCAATTGCTTTATGTTTGCAAAACCACTGTCGGGCCTGGCCACAGTGGTTTCAAAAAACGGTGTTGACTTCGTTGCACTGTTAAGAAGGCACGCAGCATGTCCAATCATGGGCCTGCCTTTAGCAGGTGGCAATCTCACATGCACTAGCAACTGTATGCGGCAACTTGATCCAAGTGTCGACCGGAGTCGATGGCTAAAACCTCCAGGTCAATCCAATACTGCCCGAATGCACTTGTGGTTGCAGGGAACCCGCTGCAACCTCCTGCCCTTCTTCCGTGTTCCGCTTCGGGGGATCCAAAGGACTCAGCATGCTTAGTATAGATACTCATAAAGTAACTTGCGGCTACACGGCTACACATCCCCACCGGTGGGGCCCAAGTCCATGCATCCCCCGAAATCCCCCATCACAGGCCAGACCGGAGCTGGGTTCTGTGGGCGGCTAAAGATGTACTGAACTTGTTCTGCGGAAGTTCCGCATCCTCTTGATGGCTCGTTGTGCTTGTGGCCCGGAGGCCCCTGGATGTCCACGACCAAGCATGCTCCAGCATCCGCTTCTGCTTGCACATAGACCTCGGAAGACCATCACGGCAACAAAGGAAACGTGCCAACACCAACCCTGAAGTGCGATGCCTGGCACCTCAAAGCTGAATCCGCATCGCAATGGCAGTGCTTGGCTGCATGCCAAGCCCAATAGAGATTCACCACTCCTGCACAGCATCGTCACAAGTCTTTCAGATCCATCGAGCAAACTGCATCCTGAACTCGACAAGCCTACCTACTGTGGAGCGTGAGAAGTGCAGTGCAAGTTACAGGCTTGTGGGGTGCACTGCAACATGCCAAACGCGCTGTCCTGGCACTGTGAATTCTCCGATAGTTCCCACGCCGGCCTTCCAAATCCGCACAGGATTGCAGAATGGTTTCAAAACCCTCTCTCGAGCAAGCGCTCTTCTGTTGGATGTGTCAAGATGCTCATAAGGAGTCTCAGGGATTTGGGATGTTCTGGGTTTAGACAGAGCTGCCAAAGCATTCCTGGCCCTACATGCCGCGTTCATTTCGGGGCCAACCCCGAGCCACGCGAAGCTCTGGAAAAACTACAAAAGTTTCGGAAGGCCGAAAACCTCGATGGCCAACATAGGGGGCCTTTGATAACTCGAATCGGGCTTGACAGTTCATTAGAGTATAAACATGATGATTAACCCTAGGGAATGATATAGGTAATTTCATTCAAGCCTCTCAACCACTAGTTGCGAATTAAGCTCCCTCAGCCCTAAACCTTTCCTTTCCCCACAGAAAGCGGCGGTCCCAGATATGAAAGTGCTCCCAGAGTTCGCAAGGAGAAGATTCCACGCCCTGGTCTCAACGGTTCAGGGTTTAGGAGATCAGGGGTGCAGGGTTTGGGGGTAAGGGTTCAGGGCTTAGGGATTTAGTAACTACGTCTTACATCAATTCAGATTCCTCTGTGGGTCTAGCTGTGAGTCTAACTTTCATTAAAAACCGCTAAAGTTTCGAATCAGGTTTGGGCTTAAGAGATGGTCTTTACGATAAGAGTGCATCTGCAAGTGGGGCCACAGATTGAACGGGTCATTCCGTTGCTCTCTTCGGTGAAAGAGCGTGAAGCGCACAATGTGTCCCTAACCCAGGGGCATGAGTAATTAGAATAGGATTTTGTGGAGATCTTATACTGTAGTTTCAATAAGGAGCCCACCCAAATAGTATTGGTAATCATGTTTACCCCTACATATCAGAACCGAAAGCCCAAACAGTAGCTCATGCTTGCCCGCCTGGTTGGCAGAATGAAGACTTCGCCCGGCAGGACCTGTCTGGGAAAAAAACTGCGTGCGTAGTCAGGAAATCTCCGGCCCCGCGCAACTTCCGAAAACTGTGCTGATGCCAGTGTGCACATCAATGCCATGCGCTGACTCCCGGAGGAGTGGAGAACCCAGACATGTCAACAGGAGGAGTGGAGCTTCCAGACATGTCAACAAGCGCTTGCTGCCACCACCTGCCCTGTGTTCGTGGCTCCTTGTTCTTGTGGGCCGGGGGCCTGTGAACATCTACGACCAAGCATGCTCTAGCATGTGCCGCTGCCGCTGTGTGGTCCTCAGAGGTTTGAGATGGTTGCAAGCGGCACTTGACATGCAACGACCAACACACGGCTCGACGTCGCACATTATTCATGCCTCCGAAAAGCCCGCTCTGCCTGCCCTGTTCCCTGCCGAATCCAAAAGACCACGACACGACGACAAAATGCAGGGCGGTTTCTCAAGCACAGCGATGAATTCCTGTTGCCATGCACAACGTCTGTGAAATCATGGACACTGTAAGGAATGTCAATAGCTCTGCCATGCACCTGTGGTCTTCAGATGTCCAGAAGTCAACACACTCTCGCAAGTCACAAAGCACGCGTGGCGCGCTTGGCAAGGGGTCTGAGGCCAGCGTAACAAGGATGGGGAGGCCAAGAGCTGTGAGTCATCATATGACATTCTCGAGTGCTCGTTCATCCTCCCCCTTGTCAGAACCTTCATTGAAGGAACTTCACACACGCCGTGCACCACTTGGCTTGAGCCAACATGTTTCGAGCCGGCAGAACACTCCCAAGCGACTGCTGAAACTGCTCCCTCTTCTACCAACACTGTAAAGCATGTCCTGTCGAAGAACTACAGTACGATGCATCGCTGAAGTGAGCAACAAACTTTACAATGCTGATGGGTTGGGTTCATGCACTTCCAGATCACGAGGTAGAGCAAAGACTCTTCTTTCGCATCGGCCAGACCATCCAGACTTCAGGGCACCAAACCTGCATAAGCACAGCCGCGCAGCAGGCCTGATGATTCATTTCCGACTCCCGGAGGAGCTGAGTTGATTGCAATTGCTTTATTTTTGCAAAACCACTGTCGGGCCTGGCCGCAGTGGTTTCTAAACGGTGTTGACTACGTACTACGTTCCACTGTTAAGAAGGCACGCAGCAGGCAACACAAATACATCCAAACATGGGCCTGCCGCTAGCAGCTGGCAACCTCACATGCACTAGCAACTGCTTGGGGCAACTTGAACCAATTGTCACCGGCAATTGTCGACCGGAGTCGATGGCTAAAACGGGCGAAAACCTCCACGCCAATCTAATACTACCCGAATGCTTTTGTGGTTGCTGGGAACCCCCTGCAACCTCTTGCTTGCCCTTCTTCCATGTTCCGCTTCGGGGGATCCAAAGGACTCAGCATGCTTAACATAGATACTCATGCGGCTACACATCCCCACCGGTGGGGCCCAAGTCCATGCATCCCCCGAAATCCCCCATCACAGGCCAGACCGGAGCTGGGTTCTGTGGGCGGCTAAAGATGTACTGAACTTGTTCTGCGGAAGTTCCGCATTCCTCTCGATGGCTCGTTGTGCTTGTGGCCCGGAGGCCCCTGGATGTCCACGACCAAGCATGCTCCAGCATCCGCTTCTGCTTCCACATAGACCTCGGAAGACCATCACGGCAACAAAGGAAACGTGCCAACACCAACCCTGAAGTGCGATGCCTGGCACCTCAATGCTAAACTCGCATCGCAATAAAAGTGCTTGGCTGCGTGCCAAGCCCAATGGAGATTCACCACTCCTGCACAGCATTGTCACATGTCTTTCAGATCCATCGACCAATCTGCATCCTAAACTCGACGAGCCTACCTACTTCGGTACGCGAGAAGTGCCCATCAAAGGCAAGTCAAGGCATGCATGCCAGTGCAAGTTACAGGTTTTTGGTGCGCACTGCAACATGCCAAACGCGCTGTCCTGGCTCTGTGAATTCTCCGATAGCTCCCACGCCGGCCTTCCAAATCCGCACAGGATTGCAGAATAGTTTCAAAACCCTCTCTGGAGCAAGCGCTCTTCTGTTGGATGTGTCAAGATGTTCAAAAACTAGAATTAGCTGCTAAAGCATCCCTGGCTATACATGCCGTACATTTCGCGGCCAACCCCGAGCCACGCGAAGCTCTGGAAAAACTACAAAGTTTCGGAAGGCCGAGAACCTCGATGGCCAACATAGGGGGCCTTTAACTTATCGAATCGGGCTTGACAGTTCATTAGAGTATAAACATGATAATTAACCCTAGAGAATGATATAGGTAATTTCATTCAAGCCTCTATAGACTACTAGTTCCTCACTAAGCCCGCTAAGCCCTAAACCCTTCCTTTCCCAACAGAAAGCGGCGGTCCCAGATATGAAAGTGATCCCAGAGTTCGCAAGGAGAAGATTCCACGCCCTGGTCTCAACGGTTCAGGGTTTTGGAGATCAGGGGTGCAGGGTTTGGGGGTAAGGGTTCAGGGTTTAGGGATTTAGGGTCTACGTCTTACATCAATTCAGATTCCTCTGTGGGTCTAGCTGTGAGTCTAACTTTCATTAGAAACCGCTATGGTCTTTACGTTAAGAGCGCATCTGCAAGTGGGGCCACAGATTGAACGTGTCATTGCCCTGCTCTCTTTGGTGAAAGAACATGAAGCGCACAATGTGTCCCTAACCTAGGGGCCTGAGTAATTAGAATAGGATTTTGTGGAGATTTTATACTGTAGTCTCAAGAGCCCCAGATAGTAGTGGTAAAAATTTAGGCCCCTTCATTAGACCGAAACCCCAAAGAGTAGCTCGTGCTTGCGCGCCTGGTTTGCAGAATGAAGACTTCGCACTGCAGGACCTGTCTGGGAACAAAACTGCGTGCGCAGTCTGGCCCCGCACAACTTCAGAAAACCGTGCCGATGCCAGTGTGCACATCAATGCCATGTGCTGACTCCCGGAGGAGTGGAGCTTATAAACCTGCTAACAAACGCTTGCTGCCACCAACTGCCCCATGTTCGTGGCTCCTTGCTCTTGTGGCCCGGGGGCCTGTGAACTTCTACGACCAATGCTCTAGCATCTGCTGCTGCGGCTGCGTGGTCCTCCGAGGTTTTAGATGGTTGCAAGCGGCACTTGACATGCAACGACCAACTCTCGGCTCGACGTCGTACGTTACCCATGCCTCCGAAAAGCCCTCTCTGCCTTCTCTGTTCCCTGCCGAAACCACAAGACCATGACACCGCGACAAGCGCAGGGCTGGTTTGCATCTGTGGTCTTCAGACCTCAACACACTCGCAAGTTACAAAGCACACGTTGCGTGCGTGGCAAGGGGTCTGTGGCCAGCGTAACAAGGATGGGGAGGCCAAGAGCTGTGAGTCATCATGTGACTCTCTTGACTGCTCGTTCATCCTCCCCCTTGTCAGAACCTTCATTGAAGGAACTTCACACACGCCGTGCGCCGCTTGGCTTGAGCCAACATGTTTCGAGCCGGGCGAACACTCCCAAGCGATGAAACTGCACTGCTCCCTCTTCTACCAACACTGCCATGCATGTCCTGTCGAAGTATTACAGTACGATGCATTGCTGAAGTGAGCCACGAACTGCACAATGCTACAGCAAAGATTTCTCTTTCGCTTCGGCCAGGCCGTGCAGACTTCAGGGCACCAAACCTGCATATGCATAGCCTCGCAGCAGGCCTGATGATTCATTTCCGACTCCCGGAGGAGCTGAGTTGATTGCAATTGTTTTAAAACTTGCATCCCTACTTTCGGACCTGGCCGCAGTGGTTTCTACACTGTTACACGGTGTTGACTACGTGCAACAGCTAAGCACGCACGCAGCAAGCAAGACAAACATGTCCAAACATGGGCCTGCCTTTAGCAGGTGGCTATCGGCTATCACACATGCACTAGCAACTGTATGCCGTAACGTGAACCACTTGTCGACCGGAGTCGATGGCTAAAACGGGCTAAAACCTCCAGGTCAATCCAATACTGCCCGAATGCACTTGTGGTTGCAGGGAACCCGCTGCAACCTCCTGCCCTTCTTCCGTGTTCCGCTTCGGGGGATCCAAAGGACTCAGCATGCTTAGTATAGATACTCATAAAGTAACTTGCGGCTACACATCCCCACCGGTGGGGCCCAAGTCCATGCATCCCCCGAAATCCCCCATCACAGGCCAGACCGGAGCTGGGTTCTGTGGGCGGCTAAAGATGTACTGAACTTGCTCCGCGGAAGTTCCGCATTCCGCTTGATGGCTCGTTGTGCTTGTGGCCCGGAGGCCCCTGGATGTCCACGACCAAGCATGCTCCAGCATCCGCTTCTGCTTCCACATAGACCTCGGAAGACCATCACGGCAACAAAGGAAACGTGCCAACACCAACCCTGAAGTGCGATGCCTGGCACCTCAATGCTGAATCCGCATCGCAATAAAAGTGCTTGGCTGCGTGCCAAGCCCAATGGAGATTCACCACCCCTGCACAGCATCGTCACAAGTCTTTCAGATCCATCGAGCAAACTGCATCCTAAACTCGACCAGCCTACCTACTGCGGAGTGCCCACCGAAGGCAAGTCAAGGCACGCATGCCAGTGCAAGTTACAGGTTTGTGGGCGCACTGCAACATGCCAAACGTGCTGCCTAGGCACTGCGCATTGTCTGACAGCTCCCACGCCGGCCTTCCAAAACCACACGGGAATGCAGAACAGCCTCAAAACCCTCTCCCAAGCAAGCGCTCTTCTTTTGGATGTGTCAAGATGTTCATAAAACAGAATTAAAGCATCCCTGGCTATACATGCGGTACATTTCGGGGCCAACCCCGAGCCACGCGAAGCTCTGGAAAAGTAACAAAGTTTCAGAAGGCCGAGAACCCCGATGGCCAACATAGGGAGCCTTTCATAATTCGAATCGGGCTTCTGGGCTCATGAGGATATAAACACGATAAGGAACCCTAAGCCACAATATGATGAAAAGATATGTCCCTAATGTAGGGGCCTTGGAATCAGAATTCGGTTTTGGAGGATTTTGTAGTCTACAAAGTCAATGAGGAATCAGGAGTCCACCCATATAGTATTGGTAATCATGTTTACCCCTACATATGAGAACCGAAAGCCCAAACAGTAGCTCATGCTTGCCCGCCTGGTTGGCAGAGTAAAGACTTCGCCCGGCAGGACCTGTCTGGGAAAAAACTGCGTGCATAGTCAGGAAACCTCCGGCCCTGCACAACTGCCGAAAACCGTGCCGATGCCAGTATGCACATCAATGCCATGTGCTGACTACCGGAGGAGTGGAGAATCCAGACATGTCAACAGGAGGAGTGGAGCTTCCAGACATGTCAACAAGCGCTTGCTGCCACCACCTGCCCTGTGTTCGTGGCTCCTTGTTCTTGTGGCCCAGGGGCCTGTGAACATCTACGACCAAGCATGCTCTAGCATGTGCTGCTGCCGCTGTGTGGTCCTCAGAGGTTTGAGATGGTTGCAAGCGGCACTTGACATGCAACGACCAACACACGGCTCGACGTCGCACATTTCTCATGCCTCCCAAAAGCCCGCTCTGCCTGCCCTGTTGCCTGCCGAATCCAAAAGACCACGACACGACGACAAAATGCAGGGCGGTTTCTCTTGCACAGCGATGAGTTGCCATGCACAACGTCTGTGAAATCATGGACACTGTAAGGAATGTCAATAGCTCTGCCATGCACCTGTGGTCTTCAGATGTCCAGATGTCAACACACTCTCGCAAGTCACAAAGCACGCGTGGCGCGCTTGGCAAGGGGTCTGAGGCCAGCGTAACAAGGATGGGGAGGCCAAGAGCTGTGAGTCATCATGTGACATTCTCGAGTGCTCGTTCATCCTCCCCCTTGTCAGAACCTTCATTGAAGGAACTTCACACACGCCGTGCACCACTTGGCTTGAGCCAACATGTTTCGAGCCGGCAGGACACTCCCAAGCGACTGCTGAAACTGCTCCCTCTTCTACCAACACTGTAAAGCATGTCCTGTCGAAGAACTACAGTACGATGCATCGCTGAAGTGAGCAACAAACTTTACAATGCTGATGGGTTGGGTTCATGCACTTCCAGATCACGAGGTAGAGCAAAGACTCTTCTTTCGCATCGGCCAGACCATCCAGACTTCAGGGCACCAAACCTGCATAAGCACAGCCTCGCAGCAGGCCTGATGATTCATTTCCGAGTCCCGGAGGAGCTGAGTTGATTGCAATTGCTTTATGTTTGCAAAACCACTGTCGGGCCTGGCCACAGTGGTTTCAAAAAACGGTGTTGACTACGTTTCAGTGTTAAGAAGGCACGCAGCAGGCAATACAAATACATCCAAACATGGGCCTGCCTTTAGCAGGTGGCTATCACACATGCACTAGCAACTGTATGCCGTAACTTGAACCACTTGTCGACCGGAGTCGATGGCTAAAACGGGCTAAAACCTCCAGGTCAATCCAATACTGCCCGAATGCACTTGTGGTTGCAGGGAACCCGCTGCAACCTCCTGCCCTTCTTCCGTGTTCCGCTTCGGGGGATCCAAAGGACTCAGCATGCTTAGTATAGATACTCATAAAGTAACTTGCGGCTACACATCCCCACCGGTGGGGCCCAAGTCCATGCATCCCCCGAAATCCCCCATCACAGGCCAGACCGGAGCTGGGTTCTGTGGGCGGCTAAAGATGTACTGAACTTGCTCCGCGGAAGTTCCGCATTCCGCTTGATGGCTCGTTGTGCTTGTGGCCCGGAGGCCCCTGGATGTCCACGACCAAGCATGCTCCAGCATCCGCTTCTGCTTCCA